TTTTTTTTTTTTCTTAGTTGTGGAGTCCACTTTGGTAGCTAACATTGTACAGAAAAAGGATGGATTTAGGTTCTGCTTAACTGACTTAATGGTCAATTATTAACTTCATATAAAACTGTTGTAATGAGATAGAAAGATGGCTCAACAGTTAAGAGCACTTACTGCTCTTGCAGAGGACCCAAGTTTAGTTGCAAGCACCTGCATAGCAGTTCACAAGCATCTGCAACTCCAGTTCCAGAGGATCTTACACCCTCTTCTGGCCTCTGTGAACATGATGCATTCATGTGGTGCATATCCATACATGCAAGCAAACACACACATACAATAAATATTTACAACTGTTGTCATCCAGGTATATCGTGTTAAGATGATCATTGTGATTAATTATAAATTATTGGGATAATTTATTGTAACAGTATATGCAAATACTAGTAACTTCAGTAGCTGAGGAATTTTGAACACTTAATTTGTTGAGGGGCTGCTGGAGAGATGGTTCAGTAGTTAATAGTGCCTGCTGTTCTTGTGGAAGATCTGAGTTCAGTTCCCAGCACCTAGGCTGGGCAGCCCACAATCACCTGTAATTCCAGCTCCAGGGATCCAGTGCTGTCTTCTGGCCTCTACAGCCATTGCACAACATGGGTGCACTTACATACATACAGGCAAAACACTCATACACATAGAATTAAATAAATAATTTTTATTTATTTATGTAGGCTTTTTTGATACAATTTCATTATGCAGTCCTGGCTGGCCTCGCAGAGCCTCTGCTCCAAAGTGCTGGGATTAAAGGTGTATGCTACTACACCAGGCCCCCACTTTACTTTAAATCTCTCTCATATACTTTAAGATATTATGACAGGTTCCTATTTTAGAATCCTAGAATTTCAGTGCTATAAGGAAAAATGAAGTAAAATTATTAGTGAATGTACCAGCTATAACAGACTGGCACATTAACCTTTTGAACACTGGTTACATATGATTGCTGGTTACTTTAGAGTTTCTTGTTAGAGACTCCAAAATGAATTTTTCATCAAAGAAATACCAGGATTCTTAAAAAGATTTATTTATTTCTGTGTGTATCTGAGTATATGTGCAATGTGTGTGCAGGTGACTTTGGAAACCAGAAAAGGGCGTCAGATCCCCAGGAACTGGAATTACAGGCAGTTGTGAGCAGCCTGATGTGTGTGCTGGGAACTGAGCCTGGGGGTCCTTTGGAAGATGAGTAAGTGCTAATCACTGAACCATCTCTCTAGTACCTAGAAAGAAATAGTTCAGGTAGTAATGCTTTAGTGGTGGTTTCTTTGGTAGAAGAGGCAGGTTGATTTCTTCCTTAGAACTTCTATTAAAATACCAGAAATAGTATGCAGGAAAGCCATAGAGAGTGAGTGGGGCTGTATTAAATATGTGAAGCTTTTTTGTTTGTTTGTTTGTTTGTTTTTTGAGATAGGGTCTATGAGCTCTGTCTGGCCTGGAGCTCATAGAGATCCACCTGCCTCTGTTTCCCTGAGTGCTGGGATTAAGAGTGTGAGCTACCACATTCTGTGAAATAAGTGAAGCTTTTCATGGACAAATATGTACCTGTGTCTCACACTTTTCATCTCATCATTTGGGCAGAAGCAGGAGGACCAGCTGCAAAATTTAGGCCTTTCTTACCTAGTAAGTTCCAGGACAGGCAAGATGACTTAGTAAGACTGTTTCAAAAAACCAAATAACTAATTACACTTAGATGTTGCCGTACTCTTAAAGGTTAAAAACTTATTCAGTTTTATGTCTTACAGGGTTTATACTGAGTTCAATATTGTATAACTATTAATTTAACTGTGAACCTAAAAATTTTTTTGTTTGGTCTTTTTGAGACAGGGTCTCCTTGTAACCCCAGCTGTCCTGGAACTCACTGTGTAGACCAGGCTGGCGTTGAACTCACAGATCCGCCTGCCTCTGCCTCCGAAATGCTGGGACCAAAGGCGTGCGTCACCATGCCTGGAAATACCTAAAAATTTTATAACCACTTTTGAAAGAGATGTATCTTTGCTCTGGAAATTGTTATTGAGTATGTTAAAGCTGTAATGAAATGCTTCTTCTTAAAAAAAAAACAAATATCAAAAACACCTCACATATTTATCTCTATGCTTGTGAAAAATGCCAAAACATTATTAATGTTCCATGTTAATTTTAAAAGAAACTGTCTGGTTTTAGGATGGTCTTCAAATTACCCTCTTCAGTCCCTTCTGAGTGGTTATCAGTGCAGCTGTAATGATGAGCACACATCCTATGGAGAAACAGGAGTCCCCGTTCCTCCTTTCGGATGCACCTTCTCTTCTGGTAAGAGAACCGTCTACTTTAAGCTTGGGCAGAAATTTATTTCCTACTTAAGGGGAATATATACTGGGTGTTTTTCCCTGGAAAGGAAAGTGACTTAGGTAGATGTTAGAATTTTTCTAATTGTTCTCCTCTGATTTATGAAAGACTTAGTTAATTATGAGAGTTTCTTTTTTTACATTTGTTTGCGTGTGCACATGCATGTGTCACAATGTGCATGTGGAGTTCAGAGGACAGCTTTGTGGAGTCAGTTCTCTCCTTCTACCTGAAGTGAGTTCTAAAGATCAGAACTCAGTCTGTCAGGATTGGCAGCAAGTGGCTTTACCCACTAAGCCATCTCGCCAGCCGTGAAATAGACTTTTATAATCTCTGCATAATTACCACAACTGTCTATTTTCTCTAAAGCATAGGTAGTACTTTCAGGGGTAGAGGAACCGATACATGGAAAGGGGTACAAAGTTTCAGCACCGTGAAGAGGATTTTGCCACTTACCTAGAAGTATTGTCTTCACTCTTAGTGGTTTTAGAGGAAAGAGAAAAGGTTGTGAAAATGAAGTTTAAAACAGACTCAGACTGGGTGTGGTCTGTATCGTTCACCTTGATTTGTCGTTGGTCAGTACCACCTTTGATACAGCCCATCTCTTAAGAATATCTGGAGATAATTTTGATGGCTTTGAGTCATTTAATACTTTTATAGTCATTTGAAACTTTTGTGATGCTCTTTGTCTATTCTTCATTTAGCTCCCAGTATGGAGCATATATTAGCGGTTGCCAATGAAGAGGGTTTCGTCAGATTATACAACACAGAATCACAGACTACCAAAAAGACGTGCTTCAAGGGTAAGTTCATAATTTTTAACATTTTTGATCATAGAGCCTTGGATAAATTACTATTTTAATACCTTCCTGCTTATATTCACTCCTTATTGTTTATTTAGGGAGCAAACTAAAAGTAAATGATGGGCTGGCTATCTGACAAGACAGTAGCTGCTAACTGTGGCAAAACCTTCACTAAAAGCTAAGAAAAAGACATTTTAGGATTAAAAATAGTTCTTTTGATTAAACCTTTTATGTTTTGTATAGTTGGAAATAATGCTTTAAATATTAATCATGTATTTCCCGTGTGCAAAGTGAGTTTCACCTGGCCTTAAGCTGATAATTTGGATCCAGTAAGTGGGGGATGAGAGAACTAAGAAGAACAAAGACTATAAATGATGTTCAAGGATAACAGGAGACCAGGAAAATTTTTATGAAAGATGGAACATTTGGTTGAACAATGGTGTTTTAGACCATTGGAAATGAGAGAGCAGTTCTGGCAAAGAGGGAAGAGCATTAGCAAAGGCCTAGATGCAGCAAACACAGGATGAATAGACTGTGATCCAGTTTGGTTCCAATAAGATATATGGAGAACTGTCAGATAAGCCGCCTCACAGAGATAGAGGCCAAAGCATGCAAGACCTTGAATGTCAGACTACAGTTAGCACATTCTTAGAACTTTCTAAAGATTTTTGACCTGGAGAATGTTTCAGAAAGATTCCATTTTAGAGAATACTTCTAATAGGGAAAAGGATTTGTGTGTGTGTGTGTGTGTGTGTGCGTGCGTGTGTGATGGTACGGGTATGTATCCACATGCCTATGGAGGCCAGAAGTCGAAATGTGTCTTCCTTTATCACTCTCCACGTTACTTTTTGAGACAAGGTCTCAATGAACTTGGAGCTCACTTATTTATTTATTTATTTTTTATGTATATGGGTGTTTTTCCTGCATGTGTGTAGTACCCACGGGCCAGAAGAGAGGATCAGATTCCCTGGAACTGGAGTTAAAGACAGTTGTTAATTACTGTGTAGGTGCTGGGAAACTGAACCCCAGTCCCCTGTAAGGGCAGCTAGCACTCTTAACATCTGGGCCATCTCCCCAGCCCTCATGGAAAGGAATTTGATACTAGATGCTGATCTCATATGTGATAGCAAGGGAAATATGTGATGTCTGTGATTTAATGCTGTTTGGTCCATGGATGGTAGAGTACTGAGTACAATCTTAAAACTGTAGCTTTCAAAGCATTTAAACTGCTGCTGATGTGGCTACCATAGAACCCAGTCTAGATAGTTACATTTGCATTTTCTTTGTTTAGAATGGATGGCTCACTGGAATGCAGTCTTTGACCTGGCCTGGGTCCCTGGTGAACTTAAACTTGTAAGTAACTTTGATTTTACTAGGTCTGAGTAGATGCTGGTAAAGATTTGCTTTGTTAAATTTTATTGTATTATTTTTGGAAGGTTACAGCAGCAGGTGATCAAACAGCCAGATTTTGGGATGTAAAAGCTGGTGAGCTGATGGGAACATGCAAAGGTCATCAGTGCAGCCTCAAATCTGTAGCTTTTTCTAAGTTTCAGAAAGGTAGGTTTGTGTTTATCCTTCTATCTCCTTAATGGTCGGGAAAATAGAGCATTGTAGTTATCTCTGCCCATCCTTCTGTCAGTGTTGTTACTTTAGCTACATAGATGACTGAGATTTTAATAACTGAAAATCATAATGAATTTTTAAAACTCATAATGTGAGTTTTAGGGATTGAACTTAGGGTGTCCTCACACTTGTGCAACAAGCACTTCACCTACTAAACCATATCCCCTGTGCCTTCCCCATTCTTGCATTATTATCTCCAGCTTGTCCCTGAAAGTTAAGTGTTCAAGCAACTTTTTTGTTTCTATAACCAACCTTGTAGATTGGTAACGATTTACAAACGGCCTTGGTTTAACTTTTGTTCATTGAAATCAAAACGTTGTGCTGGGTACTTACCATTATGATACGGCACATGAGACTGGGGTGAAAAATCTTGAAAAACTGGGCAGAGTTCGTGACCTAAAAATGGATCGACCAGTATTTACAGTTGATTTTCCTAATATTAGTTTACTGTTCTGTGGAGAATGAAATTTGAGAAGAAATAAGACACAAAACAGTGGTGCAGCTGGGGAAATGTGTAGTGTTTTAGCATTATAAAGATAAATGTTATGATTTTATCATTATAAAATACTCTATTTTGGGACTGGAGAGATGGATCAGATGCCACTTGATCTTGCAGAGGACCTGGGTTCATTTCTCAGCATTAATTGGCAAATATTAAAAACGCTATTTTTAGAAAGTTTTTGCCTGTTTCCTAAAAACATTTTCCTATTTACACAAGTACTTGGGAATATTAAACTGAACTGTTGAATTGGTTTTGACTGTCAACAAAATTATTTTGCATTATTTTGTAATAAGATATCAGACTGGAACTCACTGTATAGCCCATGCTGCCCACCGATTTATGGTCCTCCTCTGTTGGCCTCCCAAGTGTTGGGATTACAGGCATATATCACCACATCCAGGTCAAAAGTTATTTTAATATGCTGTAGTTGCTGTCAAAAAAAATAGAACTCAGGGCTGGAGAGGTGGCTCAGCAGTTAAGAGCACCGACTGCTCTTGCAGAGGACTCAGGTTTGATTCCCAGCACCCACATGGTGGCTATGAACTGTCCTTAACTTCGGTTCCAGGGGAATCTGAAGCCTTCTGACCTCCAAGGCATTGTACAACATGGGTGCACTCACATGCATGCAGGCAATACACACATACACATAAAAATAATTTTTTTTTTTTTTTGGTGGCGCGCGCCTTTAATCCCAGCACTCAGGAGGCAGAGGCACGTGGAGGCCAGCCTGGTCTACACAGTGAGTTCCAGGACAGCTGGGGCTACAGGGAGACCCTGTTTCAAAAAGACCAAAGAAAAAGAGAAAAATATTTTTTAACAAAGAATTTGTGGTCATAAAAATTTAAACAATAATGAGAAAGAGAAGCACTATATCTTTCAGTCCCCTTTGCTTAATTTTTAAAGCTCTACATGTGGATAAATCTGTGCCAATGTCATCTAATAGAAAAGGCACTGAGTTTGACTTGGGCAAGTGGCTTTTATCATGGCTCCTAGTAATGCATACGCTAACCTGGTTGAAAGGAGCCATCGTCAGTGAAACAGCTTACGTTTAGTCTGCCTCCCTTCCCCTCAAGCCTGCATAGAAGGCTTACAGCCAAATGAGTCTCTACACTTGATTTAGCTCTCCTGAAATCTTGAGCAGACATTTTTCTGTCCATTGGTCTTCATTTCTTAGTTACAGTAGTATGAAATGCTGTTTAGCTCAGGAAAATAATTGCAAGAATAACAATGTGGTAAGATACGGTTTTTTTTTTCACCTGGTGACCATATAAATGCTTATTGGTTTTTTTCATGTGTGTTGTGTGTTTTAGTTTCATAGATAGCATGGTATAGTTTACTGGTCCAATTCATTCAACCTAGTATGGGTAGGATACAAATGATCCTAATTTCCTCCCTTAAATATCTGCTTTCTTAAAAAAACAAAACAAAACCAAGCAATTACATATACAGATAAGTGCTTTGTGTGGCCCCAAGGAAGGTATTAGAACTTCTAGTGGATAATTAAAATTAACTATAAGTTTATTTCTACTTCTACAGACTTAAGTATATTTGAACCTTCTCTCTTATTCTTCAGTTTAAAGCCAGTTGTTCATCCTAAGCCAGTGGTTCCCAGCCCTGAATGCACATTGGTCACCTGATGAGGTTTTTTTTTTTAAACATACCAATTAACTGAGAATCTCTGAGAGGTGAGCCAGGTATCTGCTGTCTTTGTTTTAAGCTCATCAAGGAATTCCAGTGTACAGCTAAGGTTGAGAAACATTCTTGATCCTCCTGAAGACTTGATGCCTTCAGTTTTATCCACATGGCTCCTGTGTCTTCAGGCTCTCCCTCTGTTGGCTGTTTGTCCATGGAAGAGACTAAGGCATGTCTGTGGCCTTGACCTGAAGTGTTTCACCTTTGTTGTCTTAGCTGTCCTTTCTATGTCCTTTCTCCTCTTGAATTTCTTAATGGGGGAAAAAGGTTGCTACATTCTTCATTTCAACTTGATACAATCTGTTTTCTACATCTAGCTCTCTTCCTGAAATTAGTTTTCCTACGGTCACTCAGTGTCAGAGCCATGAAAGTTTTCAGGCCTTTTCTTCTGCTTGACCATTTATAAAGTTTTATACAGATTCTTCCTTAGAACTTGCGAACCATTCCATTCCAGTTCTCTTGTTCACTGTATGGTCCTTCATAGTTGCTTTGTGCCCTACACTTCACTAGCTTTATGTGTTGGTCTAGCCCAAGATAGGGTATTTTGCCTTCTTTTCCTATGATTCTACGTCTTTTCCTAGATGGTTTTATCTAGTCCAGGTTTTGGGGTTTTTTTGGTTTGGTTTTGTTTTCTTAGTGTGTTTAATTTTTTTTGAGACAGGGTCTCCCTATAGCCCCAGCTGTCTTGGACTCGCTTTATAGACCAGACTGGCCTCCATCTCATAGAGGTCCACCTGCCTCTGCTGAGATTAAAGGCATGTACCACCACCCTTGGCTCAGTTCTGTTTGTGCTGCACAGTATTCTCAGTCCTCTCTTTTATTTAACTTTAAAGAATAAAGCAATACAAATAGATGGAATTTCTCTTGTCTTCTCTTCAATCCCTATGCCCTCTTTCCATCCCCAGAAGCATATATACTCACACTCAGACAGTGTAGCCTGCAGGTTTAGAGTATAGGCTCTAGATACGTACCGCCAAAAATACCTTTAAAAATTACTTCTCTCAAGCCAGACTTGGTGGCACATGCCTGTAGTCCCAGCACTTGGGAGGCAGAGGCAGGCGGATCTCTGAGTTCAAGGCCTGCCTGGTCTACATAGTGAGTTCCAGGCCGGCTGTCTCAGAAAGACCAAAAAAAAAAAAAAAAAAATTCTCTCTGCCTTGTTTCTCATCTATAACACAGGAAGAATAAAACCTAATGTATTAGGGTTCTCTAGAGGAACATATATGAAGTTTATTAAACCAGCTTATGTTGAAATAAGAGCAATTATACTTGAGAGGGTGAGAACCCAGTAGTTGCTTGATCCTTGAGACTGGTGCCCTGTCCGTCAGAGTCATTCCACAGTGGCTGTCTCACACTTAAGAGCTAGGCAGCCCCAGTAGCTGCTCATTCTGGCACCAGAAACCTAGAAGTTTCCTGGAGATTGCTGGTCCTTAGTCAGCTATGGATGCCTGGGAGTGTTGGTTCTGATGCCAGCAAAGGAATCGGCGGTGGCAGCAACAGGGTAGATTGATTTGACAGAGAGGGAAGGCCAGGTGAGCAAAAGGCAAGTATTAATTCTATCAGAGTGTGGCCCACATTGGGGGTAGGTCTTCTCACATCAATTATGTCAAATAGGTGAGACTCCCTGCTCAGGGAATCTGTGACAAGTTGACATTAAAATGATTCACCACACCTACTAATAGATGGACAGAGAAGATGGAGACTGTGTGGAACATCAGCATCTATAGGGACACTCAGCATACCATACACTTTATTGCTTGCTTATCGTTTTTTGTATTATAATCTCTAGTGCCAAATTCAGTACCTAGCAGAGAATGCTCTGGGGAATTTAAATTGAAACCCATGTGTCATTGGATTATTTCGCTAACATCTTGATTTTTTCCTATAGCTGTGTTCTGTACAGGTGGGAGAGATGGCAACATTATGGTCTGGGACACCAGGTGCAACAAAAAAGGTAAAAAACTAGTTACCAAAACAGAATGAGAGCAGCACTAGTGGTTATGCCTGATTATCACCAGGGGGCACTTGTGTCATAACCCTTCATTTCCACTCATTGCTTAAGTCTTGTCTGAATAGTGATTATTGCAAAACACTTAATGTATTTATCTAATGTTGACCTTTGAATTATAGTGCCATTGATGTAAATCATTGGTAGAATTAAAATCACTAATGCATGAATATGCTAGATAACTTTTTCATGGGGTTGGCAAGATGACTCAGCAGGTAAAGGTGGTTGGCCACCAGACTGAGTTCAGTCTCCAGGTTGTCTATTGACCTCTATACTTACACCATGGCACACATGCCCCTATGATAATCATTAACCTGTTTACCGTTATATACATTGATTTTAAAATGTTATGTTATTGCAGTTTTAACTTCACAGCACCGTTAAGGTAAATTTCCATATACCCTCAGCTCCTATACAGCTCCTCCCCAACCCCCATCAGGATCGTACATCCAACTGGTGCAGTTTTACAACTACACATGGTTGCCCCGACTTAGTTTGCATTCGGTTCATTCTTCATGTTAAACATTCTGTGAAGATAGACAAATCTGTGACTTGTGTCTGCATTATAATATACACAACAGTTCCACTGCCCTCAACACCTCTGCTCTGGTGTTCATACCTGTCTCCTCATTAAGCTGTCTCCATGGTTTTCCAGAATGTCATAATAACTAGTCATATAGTATGTTGCCTTCTCAGATGGGCTTTTGTACTTAATACTGTGCATTTAACTTTTTTCCAAATCTTGGTGGCTTTCTCAAGCTCATTTCTTTTCAGCATCAAATAATACTCTGTTGTCTAGATACACCACAGTGTGTCCACTCACCAGCTGGAGAAAATCCTAGTTGTTTCTGTATTTGGCCATTATGAATAAAGCCAAGCCGTTAGAAACTATGTGTTTTTCTTAAATATATTTTATAACCTCACCTTGGGAGATAAGCTGGCTCTGTGGCAGTCTTTTGTCTTTTTTTTTTTTTTTTAAGTGTGTATATATGTATAGCCTGCATGTCGGTAAGTGCACCCTTGTCATGCAGTGCCCGTGGAGGTCTGAAGAGCCTGTCGGATCCCCTGGGACTGGAGTTACAGACGGTTGTTAGCTGCCATCTGGGTGCTGGGATTCAAACCTGGGTCCTCTGCAAGAACAACCAGTATTCTTAACCGCTGAGCCATCTCTCCAGCCCCCTAAGTTTTTGTTGTTGTTTTTGTTTTTTTTTTAAGACAGGGTCTCAACTATGTAGCTGTGGCTGGCCTCAGACTCAGAGCAATCCGCCTGCCTCTGCTGCCCAAGTGCTGGAACTAAGGTGTGCGACATCACACCTGACCAGGTTTTTTATATTATTATTATTACTTTCTTAAAATTTATTTTGTGCCTGCATGTGCCACATCATAACTTGTGAAAACTAGAGGACAACTTAGGGAATCAGTTGCTTACTACTCCCATGTGAGTCCCTGGGATTGAACTTGGATCTTCAGACTTGGCAGCAAGCACCTTTACTTGCTGAACCATTTCAATGGCCCCTCTTCAAGGGGTTTTTTTCTTTTTTGAGGTAGGGTCTTAATTATGTAGCCCTAGCTGGCCTCAAACTTTGTCAACCAGGCTGATCTCAAACCTGCCTCAACCGCCCAAGGGCTGGAGTTAAAGGCATGTACTACACCTAGAGCCTCTATAGATTTCTTTTTTTTTTTTTTTCGGTCTTTTTGAGACAGGGTCACCTTGTAGCCCTAGCTGGTCTAGAACTCACTATGTAAACCAGGCTGGCCTTGAACTCACGGAGATCCATCTGTCTTTGCCTCATGAATTCTGAGATTAAAGGCGTGCATCCCCCACTCCGAGTGAATTTTTATTTCACTAATAAAAAATTCATAATTTTGAGGTCTTATGTACAAATTTTATGTTTAGCTTGAAATGACAAAACACTAAAATCCCTCTCTTGGAATGTCTTTCAGATGGGTTTTATAGACAAGTGAATCAAATCAGTGGAGCTCACAATACCGCAGACAAGCAAACCCCTTCAAAGCCCAAGAAGAAACCGAATTCAAAAGGGCTTGCTCCTTCTGTGGTAAGGTTTTAAAGATGTGCATGTGTGAACAGTTTGTTACTCCTACTGTTTTAGGACAAGGTTTCCCTTGTATAGCTTAGACTGTCCTAACACAATCTTCAGCCTCTCAAGTGCACCACCATTCCTGACATTGTTAGATCTTAACAACAGGATAGAATTCCCCCTTAGTGAGGTTGTTGGGTCTAAAGGTGGATGGTATCTTCATTTCATTTGATACCAGGTAATGTCAGAAGGTAATTTGTTAAGTTAATCTATGGGAGGAAGTCCTTGTCTTCATGATATCTTATAGAAAGGATGAGAATTTTTTGGCAGATTTTTTGAAACATGTAGCAGAATATTTTTGTTAATGAAAATAAGCTTTATTGCTGGGCTTAGTGGCATATGTCTTTAAATCCCAGCACTGAGGAGGCAGAGGCAGGCGGATCTCTGTGAGTTCAAGGCCAGCTTGGCCTACATAGTGAGTGTCAGGCCACTGGGGCTACAGGGAGACCCTGTCTCAAAAAGATACCCCCCACCCCAAAAAAGTAAGTTTTATTATATGAGATAATACAGATAAAGATGCAGACATTTTCAATCATTCTTCAAAGTGTTTGGTTTTTTTTAACAGGTTCTCCCGGTAGCCCCAGCTGCCTGGAACTCAGAGATCCCACCTGCCACTACTTCCCAAGGGCTGGGATTAAAGGTCTGCATCACCACAGTGCAGCCCTCTTCCAAGTGTTTTGATCAGTTTACAGTAAACATCAAACCAAAATCTACCACAATCTTAGTATTAATTTTTGGGGGTGCTTGTCAGGGTTTGGTTGATTGCCCTTCTGTATCTATAATGTGCATTTTTAGAGTGTGGAAATGTTTACACAAAGGAGCTCTGTTAAGCAGAATCACAAGCAGGCCAACTGCTAAGTAAAACAGCTGTTGGTATGCACTGAAAGTCCTCAGAGCTTAAGAAAAGGAAAAAATCAAATTGGGTGATAGAAACATATTCAAAAGACAATTAAAGAGACACATTGGTATTGGGGGGAAAGGGGGGCACAATAGTTTCCCTTACACTAATTTTTCACATACATCCTTTAACGGTGCTTTTTTAAAAAAATATTTTTTGTTATGTGTATGAGTGTATTATGCCTGCATGTATGTAAGTGCATCCATGTTGTGCAATGCCTGCAGAGATCAGAATAGGGCATCGTATTCCCCTGGAACTGGAGTTATGGACAGTTGTTAGCTGTCAGGTGGGTGCTGGGAATCAAACCTGGGTCCTCTGCAAGAGTAGCCAGTGCTCTTCTGAGCCCATCTCTCCAGCCCCCTAAACCAGTGCTTTGAAGAAAAAAAAGAGTGGGTTCTTCCTAACTACTTAAAGTGTACATGTTAACTAAAGTCTTCCCAGTCTTTGAGAGTGCAGCAGGTTCAGAACTTCAAGAACCATGGGAAAAGAAATACTGTTACCATTTTAAAACACCAATTTCAATAGGAAAGAAGAATTACACCCTTTCATCTTGTAGAAAGATGACCTTCAGAAATAGCAAGGAGACTAGTGCCTTGCATTATGTTACTGTTTCTGTCAAGTACTCCAGAAACAGTGTGAATGTCCCTTTTTAGTCTCTGGCACTCTTGCTCCCTGTATGCGTGGGTAGGTCTGATCTCTTTCCCTAACTTTTTGATGATGCTAGCAGCCCTGTGCTATTTGCTCTGGGGTACCTGACTGTTCCCTGTTCTCTAGGTGTAGCTTTGTGATAGTTGAGTAGCTGGCAGTAGTGGAAGTCACCGTGCTGGTGGTCGTAAGGGCTTCCTGCCTCAAGGGCAGTGACAAGCGTGTGTCAGCTGATGTTCAGCCTATGAGGCATACAGCACACACAAAGGCCTGGCCTTTTTGTTGTTGACAGCTCAGGCACACCATCAGATAATGACCATCTCATGCCTGACACTGCTTGAGTTTATCACCCACACGTGAGGCAGGCGGACCACATTCATAGAACAATATATTTTTTATTTTATTAAGAAGCAGATAGGCCAGGTGTGGTGGTGCAGGCCTTTAATCCCAGGACTATAAAAGCAGAGGCAGGTGGACCTCTGAGAGACCTCAGCCTGATCTACATAGAGTTCCAGGCTAGCTGGGGCTATAGGGAAACCCAGTCTCAAAAAAAGGGAAGCAGGTAAAAACAAAGTACCACTCTATAGGTCCAAAAGCTCAAACCCTGCCCTAGCAGATATTTTTTCTAGAAAATGGAATTGCCATTGATCTCACTGATGTGTCTTTCTAATATTCTTGGTATGTAAGGTCCAAGTAAGTATTAGCGGGAAGTGTAATTGCTAAGCTATTATGACTGAAGGATGCATTCTATGAATATGACACAGGCCTGAATGGACACACAGTAGTCTGTGGCGACCAGAAGACATTACAATGTACTCAGATTATTTTTATAATTTTATGTGTATGAGTTTATTACCTGCATGTATGTTAGTGCACCCGTATCATACACTGCCTGCGGTTGGTAGCCGCCACATGGGTGACTAGAATCAAACTCTGGTCCTCTATAAGAGCTGAGCCATCCTTCCAGCTGCCCCGTTTATTCGGTTTTTGAGAGAATGTGTGAGGCAGTAACTACTAGATGAAGCTCCATTGAGCTTTCTTTTTCCTGTGTGTGTAACTTGGATATGTATCAATGGTTGACAGATGAAGCAGCCACAAGAAGGTTAATCAGTTTCCTCCAGGTGTCCATCTCAGTAGGGAGAATTGGAAGTAGACTCAGACTGCTTTTAGTGTCTTGAGAAAAATCTTTCAGTGGCCAGTTTATTCCTTTGTTTTTTTGTTGGTTAGTTTTTCTTATTTGCGTATGTGTGCCTGCCTAGAGATCAGAGGACAGTTCTCTCCTTCCGCCATGAGCTTTTGGCAGTCAAATTCAGGTTACCAAGATTGCACTCAGATGCATTTGCCCAGTGAACCACCTTGCTGACCAAGTTAATGTTAGCATATGTGCTACGGCTTAATGATGTTTAGGTCATTCCCTTCATTTATTTATTACTGGAAAGAAAGTTAGGGACCAGTAAGGTGGCTCAGTAGATAAAGGTGCCTGCTGCCATGCCTGACAACCTGCAGTCAGTCTCTGGAACCCACATGGTAGAAGAGAATTGACTCCCTCAAGTTGTCCTCTAACCTCCATATGCATGCCTGTTGTACTTGCATGCACAGTGCGTGTAGAGATCAGAGAGCAACTTGCAGGAGTAGGTTCTTTCCTTCTACCATCTACCATGACAGTCCTGAGGATTGAACTCAGGTCATCGTCAGGCATGGCAAGCAGGTGCCTTTACCCATAGCCATCTTGGTGGCCCAAGAAAGTTTTTCTTTAAAAAATAATTTTATGTGAATGAGTATATTGCTTGCATGTGCGTAAGTGCACTGTGCTAGATACTTTAGTGTCAACTTGACACACCTGGGTTGAGGGAGCCTCAGTTGGGGAATTTCCTCTATTGGACTGGCCTGTGGCCATGTCTGAGGGGCATCTTCTTGATGAGTGATGTGGGAGGGCCCAGCCCACTGTGGGTGGTGCCACCCCTGGGCAGGTGGGCCTGTGTTGCATAAGAAAGCAGGCTGAGCAGGAGCCAAGGGAGCAAGCCTGTAAGCAGCATTCCTCCATGGCCTGTGCTCCAGCTCCTGCCTCCAAGTTCCTGCCCTGAGTTCCTACCCTGGGCTCCCTGATGAACTGCGTGCGACCTGGGAGATGTAAGACAAATAAACCCTTTCCTCCCCAAGTTGGTACTGGTCAGAGTGTTTTGTCACAGCAGTGAAGAAACAAACTAAGACATGCACCCATGTCGTGCAGTGCCTTCGGAGGTCAGAAGAGGGCATCAGATTCCTCTGGAACCAGAGTTACTGGCAGTTATTAGCCACCATGTGGGTGCTGGGAATTGAACCCAGGTCCTCTGCAAGAGCAGTCAGTGCTCTTAACCGCTGAGCCATTCCTCCAGCCCCAAGGAAAGCCATCTTTAAAAAATAGCTTAATTTTTTTATTTTCTTTTATGTGTATGTATGTATTGCCTTCATGTATGAAAGTCTACCCGCATGCAGTGCCCACAGATGTCAGAAGAGACTGTTGAATTGCTTGGAACTAGAGTTACAGATGGTTGTTAGCTACCATGTTGGTGCTGGGAACTGAGCCTGGGTCCTCTGGGAGAGCAGCCAGTGCTCTTAACCGATGAACTCTCTCTCCAGCCCCCTGTTTATTTTCTGTATATGAGTGTTTGCCTGCATATATGTAGGTGCACCCATGTTGTACAGAGCCTGTGGAGAGCAGAAGAAAGCATCAGATCCCCTGGAACTGGAGTTACAGATGGTCATTTGCCATCATGTGGGTGCTGGGAGTCAAACTCAGGCCCTCTGGAAGAGCAGCCTGTGCCCATAACCCAGTGCTCTTAACCATGTTTTTAACAGCTGAGCCATCTCTCCAGCCCCAGGAAAGCCTTTTTTTTTTTTTTTTTTTTTTTTTTTTTTTTTTTTTTTTTGTCTTTTTGAGACAAGGTCTCCCTGTAGCTACAGCTGGCCTGGAACTCAAAGAGATCTGCCTGCCTCTGCCTCCCAAGTGCTGGTATTAAAGGTGTGTGCCACCACTCCCGGCAGGAAAGCCATTTTTAAGCACTTTGTTCTTTTGATGGTGAAGATTGTGATGAGGAGCGACGAAGTGTTTTTCTTTGTTGTGGTATTAGGATTCCCAGCAGAGTGTTACTGTGGTCCTCTTTCAAGATGAGAATGCATTAGTCTCAGCAGGAGCTGTGGATGGGTAAGTGACTTTATTTCTTCTGCTTCTTTTGATCCATTGTCTTTTGTGAACTATGATAGATCCTAGTCCTATTAAATTGAACATGCATGCTCTTCAACATAGTGACTCCTGTAGCTGAAAGGAATTACTGGCAACCTTGGAAAATAAACAGAACTCCTGCTCAAGCTGAGATGATACATGTGTCGTGCTTGGCACATCGTCTCTAGCACATGGGAGCAGTGTCAGCTGTTGCAGGATAAGCAGCTTCCTAGCCTTAAGGCAGAGTAGTTCCAGCCTAGGTGCTTCCCCATATTTGTTAGCTGTGATTGGTCTGAATTTTGACCCCAAGTAAGTGTCTGGTATGTGTTCATTGGCTCGTGCTTCTAGAAGGCAAGATAAGCATGACTGAAAATAGGTTCTTCGTGTGCAGGGACTTGTTAAAGTGCGCTTCTTTCCTGTCACATCTCAAGGTGCATCACTTCCCTCAACATTTTAATCTAAAAAATGGCTTACTAACTAACTAGCATTTTTGTTTTCCTGTGGACATTAAAATCCTTCTATGAATCAAGACCTCATGCAGGAGTGAGGACTTTCTATAAGTTAATATCGTATTTGTAAATAACTGAAAATGTGTTCCACCTGTTTCTGACGAACAGTAGAACAGTGACTGTCAGCATCGCACTTTCATCCTCCCTTTTCCATTTCTTTGGAGTAAATGCCAGTGAGCTGTCACCGGGCCAAATGACGTTTCCATTTTGTTTGAGTTGTAGGTTTGGCACTGGAAACAATAGTATGAAATAGTTAAACTTATTTCCAGTGAGATGTTCTAGTGTAGCTGGGAAATTGCCAGAGGAGACAGATTGAGTCATTTCACACTTAAAATAAGTAAAATAGGATAGGAAAAGGTTTATATATTTCTTGTCTTGGTTTTTTAGAATAATAAAAGTCTGGGATTTGCGCAAGAATTACAGCACTTATCGACAAGAACCCATAGCATCCAAGTCTTTTCTGTACCCAGGTAGCAGCACTCGAAAACTAGGTGAGCCTTTGCTTTGTCTGTAGGATTGTGGGGAAGAGGGGGCGATGATATGAATTTCATTTAAAAGCCTTTTAATGCTGGTATTCAGCACTATAACTTGAGAAACCCTAGTATATGGTTGTGTCCTTTTTTATTTCAAAAGGTAAAACTTTGATATGGTTTTTGATTTGTGCATATTTTAGAATTATCTTCCTAGGGTACAAACCATTTTTATCCCCACACTTGAACCTTGGGTCTACTCACCATCATCAAGAGATGCTAACGGGTTTTCTGTCCCCAGGGTACTCAAGTCTGGTTTTGGATTCTACTGGCTCTACTTTATTTGCTAATTGCACAGATGACAACATCTATATGTTCAATATGACTGGCTTAAAGATTTCTCCAGGTAAGCTACTGGGCTTTCAGATTGTCTTGTCAGTAAACTGATAATGACTTTTTTGTTAATAATTTAGTGGTGGTTGCTTATTTACATTTTCCCTAAAGAAAACCTAGTAATCCATGAGGACTTTGGTGTCTGTAATTAGTTCTGGTGAGGTTTTCATGGGTGTTACGTTTTTTTTTGATCATTTCACAAGTAAACAGAATCCTGCTTTATATGGTGAACCGTGAGTCTCCTGAAGCCATGCTCTTTGGCCTACATTCAGGGTTATTTTGATTGTCTGTTAATACATTACGGAGTGAAGACAGCTGTTCTGCTCACGTTCTGTCCTTTTCCAGGCTCTTAAAATTAGAGAGTTAAGTCTTTTAGGCTTCCCCAAACAGCTTTAGCCTTTATAGTGTTGGACAGAGACCACTTAACTCCTAGGGTACTTTTCCCCTGAGTGAAACCTAATACTTAAAACTAATAAATAAACATCTGAAGGCTGGATGTGGTACATACCTTTATTCCCAGCACTTGGGAGGCAGAGGCAGATGGATCTCTGAGTTCCAGGCCAACCAGTGCCACCTTGCGAGACTGTCTCAAAATGCAAAACTAAAACAAAAATTGGGTTTCTAGAGTCAACTTTTCAGAGGGTTTGTGGGAGTAACATTGTTTTTAAGGTTATCAGTTACTCAATCAAACTGTGTGTACATTAGTAGCATGGTTCTTCCTAAGTCTGCTTTGGTCAGAGTCATTCTGAATTCTGCATTCCAGCCCCAGAACTACCTAGTTCGCAGATGTGCTGATGAACAAGAAATCTCAAAATAGTACAGAGCTTGTCTTTTTAGTTGTGGTCCTAGAGACCTTTCCAGTGATCTCCCCAAGCACTCTTAGGACTGTGCCGTCTGCAACAGTAGCAGAGTTGTCATTGCTTTTCAAAATCTTTCTTTAAATAAAGTCAGCTGGTGTTCTAAGTCGATATTAGAGTGCTTTCCTAGCATGGACAAGGTCCTTGGTTCAGTGCCACAAATAAAATCAAAACTATTTTATGGTCTGGAGAGATGGCTCAGTTGCTGAGTGCTGGCCACACAAGCATGAGGACCTAGTTTGGATCCCTAGCACCCACTTTAAAAGCTGGGCACAGCAGCACATACCTGTAATCCCAGTGCTAGGGAGGCAGAGACAGGAAGATCCAGGGGCTTGCTGGCCAGCAAGTGTTGCCAAATTGCTGAACTTCAGGTTAGTGACAACCTGATGCAAAGGGAAAGGTGGGGTGGGGACTGAGGGAGATGCTGGCCCCCGGCTGCACACAGGCCACAAATACACAAGAGAATCAAATCCTGATTATGTTATCAGGTGCCTTGAACTCTCATGTACTTTTTCCTATAGTATAGCACTTGAGTTTAGTTTGCTATGCTGCCATTAAGCATTTTTCTGTCTTCCTAAAATAATCTCGTGAATAGATTGGTTTCTTAGAAATAGCATGTTAAGCGTGTGTAAAAACATCCGCTAATTGCTTGCCTTTTCAAGGACTTGGCCTTCATGCTCGATTCATTTGTTTTATTCATAGTATTGTATTATACTAAGCAGTGTTCATATCCCATACCCAGTTCATCAGAGAAAAACTAAATTGAATCCACACATAGTAGTACCACATGCCTATAATCCCAGCATTTAGGAGGCTGAGGCACGAGGATCATGAATTCAAGGCCATCTTAGGCTATAGAATGAGACCCTGTTCCCCCCTCAAAACAACAAAAACCAAAACTGAGCGATTTAAAGCCAACATAGGGTTTTAGAGGGACTTTTGCTGGATTTGAAACATTTTTGGTATGCTTCATACCCATTTATTTTAGACCAGCAGGGGACAGCAGAAATGGGGCTAGTGGGAAATTCTTGTAATTTTCTATTCATAGTTTAGAGCAGAAGATGAATGATTGTAGTTTGGGAATCACACTGGGTGAAGGAGCCTCTTAATTTTGTAAGGATGTATCTGGAATAGCACATTTAGAATGTACGTATCTAAGTTGATTCATGTTTGCTTCACTTTGGTAGTAAATATCTTAGATGTGAAGAATATTTGATAGGTGGGGGTTTTTAAGGTTTTATTTTTCTTTTTTGTGTATGAATGTTTTGCTTGTATGTGTGTAAGTGAATCACATGTATGCTTATTACCCACTGAGGCCAGAGAGGGTATAGGATCCCGTAGAACTGGAGTTAAGGATGGTTGTTAGCCACAATGTGGGTGATGGGAACTGAACCTGGGTCCTCTGGAAGAGCAGTAAGTGCTCATATCTGTTGAGCCATCTCTCCAGCCCTGGTAGGTTTTTTTGGTTTTGGTTTGGTTTGGTTTGGTTTTTCTTTACTGGTCTTTTTGAGACAGGTTCCCCTTACAGCCCCAGCTGTCCTGGAACTCGGTCTGTAGACTAGGCTGGCCTTGAACTCACAGAGATCCGCCTGCCTCTGCCTCCCAAATGCTGGGATCAAAGGTGTGTGCCACCACGCCTGGCTAGTTTATTCTTTGAAAAAGGGATTTCTCTACTTTAGGAAGTTGTGAAAGCTTTTTTTTCTTTTGAAGAGGATGCTGTGAAGTTCTTACTAATACTTCTTCCCTCTGTTAAAAGTTCAAGTGTGATTTCCTCCCCACACCCCCTCTTAAATTTAATGTGTATGAGTGCATTGCCTGTGTGTATGTAAGTGCACCTATGTCATGCAGTGCTCAAGGAGGTCAGAAGAGGGCGTCAGATTCCCTGGAACTGGAGTTATGGATGGTTGTTAGCTGCCATGTGGGTGCTGGGATTCGAACCCAGGTCTTCTGCAAGGGCAGTCAGTGCTCTTAACCACTGAGCCATCTCTGTAGTCCATGAACATGCATTTTGCCCTTCTTAAGTACCTCTGCCATTTAACCTATTAAAGGTGCTGGATGTTTTTAAATTCCCACTTCTCATACCCAGTATTCAGATAATTTTTTACACTTATCTTTATCTCTTCATGAAACAAACATTTGAAGATTTACTCTGTTCAAAGTACTATGGTCTAGTGGTATATACCCACAAGCAGCTCAAGTCTAGAGAAATAAAACCAATATATTATATAATGGGAAAACATCTTACCATAAGATGAGAACAGGTACAGTCTTCATTTTACCTTTAAGATCCCTTTTTATGACATTTTTCTCTCGATATTTGGTCGAATCCATACCAAATAGTTATGTTGAGTTCATTAGATTGGGTCTAATAAAAGCCTCTTTTTAGGTTATGCTATGTTATTTTTGTCGTTTTCAGCATTTACCTCCATGTTATTTGGTGACTGAAGGTGGGCAGTGTGCTTCAGTAGTCAGTTTGGTGCTGCTTCTGTTCGTGTGTGTTTGCATCACTGGACTAGTGGAAATGGCAAGAGCCAAATAATTCGGGTTTTTTTCTTTTCTTTTCTCTGTCAGTGGCTGTCTTCAATGGACACCAGAACTCTACCTTTTATGTAAAATCAAGCCTTAGTCCAGATGACCAGTTTTTAATCAGTGGCTCAAGTGACGAAGCTGCCTACATATGGAAGGTGAGTTGCCAAACTTCTGGCATAAAGTAGTAAAACGGTTATTGTTACAGTTGTATTCCATGTCATCAAACTGTCCTTTAAAATTCAGTCTTTCCATCCCTGAGATCATACCTTCAAACCATCCTTATAGCCTTGTACAAAACAGCCACTCAAAACTTTTGGTATAATAACTACCTGTAATCTTATTCTCTTTCTTCTAGTGATAGTCAACCTCAGGCTATTAAAATAAATGTAACCACTTTATTAAGTTTTGTTTAAATATAGTAATAGCATTATTCAAAAGTCACTACGATAAGCCAAGAAACTTAAATTACACATTACTGGAGAAAAAGTCCTAGAGAAGAACAAACTGTCTCTACAGCCCCAGCAGGCCTGGAACTTGCTGTGTAGAATAGGCTGGCCTCGAACTCACTGAGATCCACCTACCTCTGCCTCCTGAGTGCTGGGATTGAAGACATGTACTACTATGCCCAGCATGATTTTGATTTCTTTATCTAAAGTTGCAAACAATGCGAAACTAAGTCCTTATTGAGTGCTTTCAGTAACAGTGTCTGAAATGGCCACAAGGTGGAGATACTGTTCTATCCAAGATACTTTCTATACTGGGCCTTCCTCTTCCTACGTACACTTTATTTGTTGTGATTTTAAGTGAAAATTTGCTTATGAGCATATACTTGAGACCCTAGCTTATAAAAATAATTTTTACCTATTTTGTTCTTTACTCTTTCTTGAGTTCTAAACTTCACATGTACAAATGCTTCTGTCTTACTAAATTCCAAACTTGTGCTCTTTTGTTTTCTCTTTTTCCTTCCCTGTCGTACCTACATATATTTTTCCACTTTAACTCCCCACTTGCAGAGTTTTATTCATATCACAAGTCTGTATCAGGCCAGGCGTGGTGGTGCACACCTTTAATCCTAGCACTCAGGAGGCAGAGGCAGGCGGATCTCTGTGAATTCAAGGCCAGCCTAGTCTACATAACAAGTTCCAGGACAGCTGGGGCTACAGGGAAACTGTCTCAAAAAGACCCCCCCAAAAAAGGAAAGAAAACACCAATTGAAACTTTAGATGTATCACATATAAAACGGCCAGTTCCATACCAGATATTTAGGCTGAAGTATAACTCTCTTGCCAATTCTTAACATTTTTCTAGCCTTTTAAATTTTCGTTTTTGTGAATAAGAGTTCAGAGGAGACCTCTTCCATTTATAGGCACACACTAAAGCCACTTGGCTGTTGTTTAAACCCATTTTCAGACATCCCTTCTGTGGCTACTACATCTACGGGTTACACTGATTTCCTAGGCTGGGTCACATGTCACAACTGGATGACACGGTTCAGACGTGATGTTCTCCTGCTGTGTACACATAGCTCATAGTGCAAGCCCTGTTATTTGAGATCTTGGCCAGCTTGCTGCTCCTAAAATTGAATTTGCCTTAGTGATATGGCTCAGTTTCTCTTTTCCATGATTGGGGATAGGGTAGTTTAAAAGCAATTCCATGCAAGCTGAGTGTATCCAGATTGTTGGGGTATCTTATAACCCTGCTGTTTCTCTGATAGGTCACATTCATCTTAAGTGTTCATCTTTTCTGTGTTGAAAAGCCCATAGCACAAAAGAAGAGTAAAAGGAGCTTTATATCTTAAGGCAAAAAAGAATGGCCTTTGTAGAACCCTCAGTCCTCCCCAGCAAAGGGCAGGTATTCTGTCTTTGAACTTTGATACTAAGGCCCAAATTTTTAAAGACAAGACTTGATTTCCTACCGGTTGTCCTGCCTTCACTCTGCCGTGCTTCCCTCATTTGTTTCTGATACAGCCACCGAATAGTAGTGAAGTGGTTATAAATAACCTGATTTGGCACAGCCATTGTACTGCTGACTGGGAAAGCACTGAGCCTGACACTTATAGGACATGTAAATGATCTCACGGCAGAAATAAAGACGAGATTTGGTTTCCAATTGGGCAGGGTAAAGAGATTTTTTGAAGAAAGGTGCTGACCTTTTTTATATGTCTTAAGTACACAAAGTGCTTTGTGAGGGCTAAAGGTTAGGGCCGTTTACTTCAAGAGATGCCTCATAGTTTGACTTTAGGGTTCCTTGTCTTACTGTTATAAAAAGTAGAATATACAAGAGGACAGTTTCTGTTATTTCACCACCAGAATAATTAGATAATATTTCTTGGACTTGAAAATGGATTCCTTCCTACTTGGAAGTAAGGTTTTTAAAAAATGAAATCATGACCTGGCCTTGGTGGTGCATCCCAGCACTCAGGCAGAGGCAGGTAGCTTTGAGTTCCAGGCCAACTGGGGCTACAGGGAGACTATCTCAAAAAGACAAAAAAAGTGAAAAATGAAATCATTTAACTGGTATTTGTTTTATAATAAATTGGTAGTAAGAACTTAATGGAATGGAAATGAAGAATTCAAAAGCCATCTGAGTTTCATTAGAAGAAATTAGTCTTAATGGAAGTAGCCACCAGGTACTATACCCTGAGATAATATTGAGCTCTCAAAGGCCTCATTCCTTAAAGTTCAAAAGTCTTACTAGAGATTAATTTCTCCTTTCAGCCCACAACATGGAGCCCTTCCTCTTTTTTGTTAAAAGTAGAATCCAGGGGTCAGATGTGGAGATAACATGCCTGTAATCGCAGCAGCTGAGAGGTAGAGACAAGAGTATCTCAAGAGAGAGACTAGCCTGGGCAACAGAGCAAGACCTTGTATCCACAAGGAAATAAAAAGTTCAAATTTAGGATTGAGAATATGGCCCAGTGTTGGGATGCTTGTGTAGCATATGAGAGGCCCTATGTTTGATCACAGCACGACTAAAAAACTGCTTAGCGTACAATTCAGTACGTTTTAGTATAATCACTGTATTGTACAATCATTGCCGCTGTCTAATGCCTGGATATCACAACAAGAAGAAACCGCTTCCCTTTCAGCAGTCACTCTTCATTCTCTCTTCCTCCTCTAATTTTGTGTGCCTGTTAGGGGCATTTCGTTTAAATGAATAACGCTCTGTGGCATTTTGTATGTTATCCTGCACATTATTTCATTCCTTCTGTCTAAAAATTTCCTAACCTCTTGGCAGACCACATTTTTTTACCCACTTACCTGATGATCATTTGAGATGTTTCTAGTTTTTTACTTTATAGGTAGAGCTTGCTGTCCACCATGTGTGTATATTTTTGTTTGAACATATTTTCAATTCTCCTGGGAATAGATTGCTGGGTCATCTTTGAGTACTATAGATATGTACAGAATTAGGTACGTTCTGTTCAGGTGCTTGGTTGTTCTTGAAACTCGTTTTAATGCTTTATACATTTACGTTCTGCTAGGTACCATAATAAAGAAACTAAGGAATGGGCAGGGTCATGACAGGGAAAGGAATGTGTTCCTACTGGAGATGTTTACAAGGACGTGAATATTTCCTTTCCCTTTTAACCTGTTTGGGCATTGGGTGAAGAAAAACTTAACGGACTAAGATCGTTAACTAAAAATTTTTAATGAAAGTATGAATTCTAGCTTATGTCCCCTTCAAATTGAAGGTTATCCAACAGCTACAATCTGGTGAAAGTCAATGGGTCTTGCACTGGAAGAAAAACCATCCTCTTGTCCTACCCAGGAGAGTTGGTCATATGTTTCAGGAACCTTCAGGATTCACAGTTAATTTAGTATTCCTGGAAGTAGCTGACTAAATGAGATCTGAAAAATATCCAGGCTATGTAAAAGCAGGGCTGACTTGAAGAATGCTACCTAGGAATTGAGCCTCATCCTTCCCGAAAGCTTACCAGCTGGGGGACAGTGCCAGCACTGCATTTTAGTTTGGAATAAGAGCTGTCCTGATATTTAAACCCATTCTTGGGGCTGCAGAGATGATTCGGGGGTTAAGAACATAGAGGATAATGGTTCAGTTCCCAGCACTCACATGGAGGCTCACAGCCCTGTGTAACTCTAGAGAATCTGACATTTTGACTTCCTCAGGCAGGTGCGTAGATGCAGGCAGACACACAAAATAAAAATAAATTCTTTTTTAAAAAGAGAAGAAAAATGTGTTCTTAAAAATCATTATTTTGACTAAGTTGACAGCTCTACCTTTGATAACAGCCCTGGAGCTCCCTAAGGCATAGTTAGGGGGTTCATAACCTCTACAGGGGCCCTAATGGTGCTCTGATGACTTGTTCTTTCTGGTTTGGCTAGGTTTCCATGCCATGGCTTCCTCCTACTGTGCTCCTGGGTCATTCTCAAGAGGTCACATCTGTATGCTGGTGTCCATCAGACTTCACAAAGGTTTGTGGACAAATCTCCTCTAATTGGTTCAAAAAGTACGTCCCAGATTTGTACATTTTCCCAGGGTTTGTTTAAAAATGATAAGATGTTGTTGTGCTTAAAAATTTAGCTGGGTGTGCACGCCTTTAATTCCAACACACGGGAGGCAGAGGCAGGCCTCTCCAAGTTCTCAAGGCCAGCCGGGGCTACAGGGAGACCCTGTCTCCAAAAAAAATAATAAATAAAAATTTAAAGGAGGTAAAGACCATCCAGAATATGTATCAACATTACATATGTATTACACATTTTTCCCCCTTTCTTCTCTGCCAACAGAGAAATCGTATTGTCTTAGTTTGTTTCTCCATTGCTGTGACAAAACACTCTGACCACTACCAACTTGGGGAGGAAAGGGTTTATTTGTCTTAAATCTCCCAGGTCACAATTCATCACTGAGGGAGGCCAAGGTAAGAACTCAGGGCAGGAACCTGGAGGCAGGAGCTGGAGCACAGGCCATGGAGAAACACTATTTACTGGGTTGCTCCCCCGGCCCCTGCTCAGCTTGCTTTCTTAGGCAACACAGGCACTTCCACATCACTCAACAATCAGAAGATGCCCCTCAGACATGGCGACAGGCCAGTCCAATAGAGACAATTCCCCAATTGAGGCTCCCTCAACCCAGGTGTGTCAAGTTGACACTAAAGCTATCCAGCACACATATTATGTACTCAAAAGAGTAATGTAGGATTTCTGGTTCTCTAAAATCATTCCTTCTCTGAAGTTTTTTGCTGAAGATTCATCTCAAAATCTAAAGTGAAAAGCTGTAGAGATGTCTCAATGACTAAAAAAATGCATGCTGCTTTTACTGAGGTCCCAGTTTGGTATTTAGCACCCACACTGCAGCTTACAACAGCTTATAACTTCAGTAAAATTTGCCAGGCGTGGTGACACGTTTTTAACCTCAACACTTGGGAGGCAGAGGCAGGCAGATCTCTGAGATGAAGACCGTTCTGGTCTGTGTAGCAGGTTAGGCCAATTGAGGCTATAGGGAGATCCTGTCTCCAAAAAAAATGAAGAATTAAGTTGAAAGCTAGTCCTTTACACTTTCTATGTTTCATCAATACGGTGTGTAAAGGTAACGTGCTATGTATTTGTCACAGTTGTTTTTGGGTTTTCACTTATAGTTACTGTTAAGTCTTAACATGTTAGATTATCTGTGACTAAATAGTAAAAGTAGTCTGAAATGTTTCAGACATTCTAGAAAGAAGAAAATACACTTGCCTTTTTTATTACTCATTTAATTTTTTAATGTGTATGAAGTGAATTGTCTACATGTATGTAAATGCACCTGTGTCGTGCAATGCCCGAAAATGTCAGAGTGTAGAATTCCCCTGGAACTGGAGTTATGGATGCTTGTCAGCCACCATGTGGATGCTGGGAATCGAACCCAAGTCCTCTGCAAGAGCAGCCGGTGCTCTTGTATTTTCATTATAGAGCAGTTGTGGGATTCCAAACGTTTCTTGTTGAGAAGTTAAATAAATATGTGTGTCTTCTTTTGGCCTCCCAGTAAGGGAAGGAAAAAGTAGCCATCTCTTGGGGGCCAAGATTTAAAAGAACGTGTGTTCTTTTTTTTCCTGTTTAGTGACTGAAATAGAGAGATTACATAAACAAATGCTGGAGAACAGCTCTGGTACCAGTGGCCATTTGCCACTAGCCCTTCAAGCTGGGCTTTCTCTGCCATAAAAGGCTTGGGACCAAGATCATGAATGTTCAGATATGTTTAAAGGGGCAAAGGTTATTTTTAACTCTTTTTTTTTAACCTCTTTCAGCCTTGTGAACTTGTTTTCCCAGATTGCTCCTTTACCTATCTGAAAAAGCTTCTCAAGGGAAGTATTCATTGTACCTGTCCCATGGCCTGCTAGAATCACAGGCTAGATCTGATCTTGGAAATGTTCCCTTTACTTTAGCAATAAGATAAAACATTGCAGAATTCAGAGGAAAATCATGGAAATTGAATGTTGATGGTATATATTAATTGATTGTATAAAGGTCATCTTAATTACATTATTCTGGGCTATATAAAAGGTTTGTTAAAAGATGTGAGTTGCCCAGCTTCTTAAGAAACCAAAATGAAAAGTTTCTCAGCAGAAACTTTATTTTAAAAAAAAGTTTTGTCTTTGGAAATCTGGATTGACTCTTTTAAAACAAGGAATTCAGCCAGGCATAGTGGCAGAGGTAGGTGGATCTGTAAGTTCGAGGCCAGCCTGGTCTACATAGTAAGTTCTAGGCTAGCTGGTGCTACAGGGAGACCCTATTTCAAAAAGGCAACAAAAACAAAAACAAAAAAAACCCACACCAAAAAACCAAGGAATGAAAATAGATGATCTCCCAGATAATCATATCATTTCCTATATTGTGTTACACAGAGTTAAGTCACCATTCATGAGCACTTCTATTTTTTTACTTGATTGTGACTCTTTGACACTTCACCATTGTCTTCCTGGTTCTTAGATTGCTACCTGCTCTGATGATAACACACTAAAAATCTGGCGTTTGAATAGAGGCTTAGAGGAGAAACCAGGAGGAGATAAACATTCCATAGTGGGTTGGACCTCTCAGAAGAAAAATGAGGCAAGACCAGGCCTAGGTAAGGCTACCATGTGTTCTCTACGTTTTTTATGGTTTCATTGGTTCAGCCCTACAGGGCAGTGGGAGACTAGATTTGCTCTTGTTTTGATAACATTTTCAAAGAAAAACACCATCTCTGCATTTGTTCAAGGACTGCTTTCCAATCACTACCTTGTTATCATCTTTACATGACACTTGACTACAATGGTGGATTTATTGAACTAATATTTATTGACTGGTATGTACTGGATACTGTTCTAGTTTTGTTCAGAACCGAGCTTACTTATGAGTGGAAATCCATAAGATAAAGAAGTAAAATACTTAATACTTCAAGTTGTTATTTGATGTAGTAAGTGCTTAGGATAGCAGGAGAAAAGAATGGAAGTGTGCTGTAAAAGTTTTTTATGACAGGGAGGCCTCGATAAATGAATGACAAGCAACGAAAGTGAAGTGATTAGTAAGCCATGTGACTATTTTGAAGACTACTCCAGGTAGACAACACAGCAAGGGTAAGGCGCTGAGCAGGACCAAGCCTGGCATATTTTCTCTTACTCAAGGAGGCTAATATGCAATAGCCCCTATAGCCGAACCACGCAAAGAAGAGAGGGAGAGTAGCAGTAGAAAATGAAGCTCATGCCTGGTGTGACACAGGCCTATAATCCCAACAACACTCAGGAGACTAAGGCTGGAAGATGTAAATTTGAGGTCAGCTTAGGCTACCTTAGTGAGAGCCTTATCTCAAGAAAACCAAAGAGCATGGGCTTAACAAAATAAAATAGGATCTCAGAATTGGGGAGTGGGGTATTTCTTTGTTTTGAGACAGGATCTCCCTGTGGTCCAAGCTGGCCTGGAACTTGCTGTGTAGACCAGGCTGGCCTTGATCTCACAGAGATCCGTTTGCCTCTACTGCCCAGGTGCTGGGATTAAAAGCCAAAGGTGAACACGAGCACCACTGTGCCTGGCAGAAATTTTATTTTCAATGGTTTTCAAAATCTTTATATATGGTTTAAAGTAATCAACTTCTGGGTATATTTGCAAAAGGATCACACATGGGATATAAGGAGGAAATTTCAAGGATGACTTCAGAGTTTTTACTTGAAGCTATAGGATGGGGTTTCCTTAACCTAGATAATGAACCCCTGTAGGGGTGGAGTGGTAAATTGGGGGCTCGTTATGATATACGTGAAAATAGCTGTAGGTACAAGGACTAAGGAACAGTTTTCTAGTCGTTTACACTATGCAGTAGACTTGAGTTGTTTGCTCTCAGTTTACATTTTGTAAAGTCTCTGGTGGTGCAACCTTGTTTGATTTGGCCTTTCTAAATTTTGTTTTGTGCTTTCTTTCAAAATTTCATTTTTAATTTATTAATGTTACAGTTTTTATGAGTCAACTAGTTCTCCAGGCAGGAATATGGATATGAACATGAATGCAAGATCTAATCTGCCTGGCCTATACAGTGAGATCCAGGCCAGCTGGGACTACAGGGAGACCAGTCTCAAAACAAAGAAACAAACACACAAATTATCTCTCACAGAGAGAGAGATTTTCTGATATCCCATTTTATTTTGTTAAGTGCATTCTTTTTTTGTTTTCTTGAGGAAAGATCTTACCAGGATAGCCCAGGCTGGCCTCACATCGTCTATAGGGTCCCAGGCACTCTACTCAACAGTTTGTCTTTCCCAGAGGCATCCCTGATTTGGCTTTTTAATATGTCTTCATAGTGTTACTGTTATCTGTTTCAGCTTTATCTGTTGACTTCTTTCCTTTATGAGATAGATCCCCTCAAACTTGCACGTTCCCTATCCTCATAGAGGGTCCTGTGTATAGTTAGATCAAGGTGTTAATGACTTTCAGTGTAGATAGACTGTTTTCAGCACCCAAAATGAAGGTTCTAGTTTTTCCATATTCTTTCTGTGCATACACATAGTAGGTGTGGCTTGTTATCCCCTTCTGGATTCGTCATGAAAGCCAATGATGTGTTTTCATGTGCCTACTGGCTGTTGTTTTTTTGTTGTTGTTTTTTTTGTTTTGTTTTGTTTTGTTTTTGGTGAAATGACTGTACAAGTATTTGACTAGTATTTGCTAAGTTGTAAGCATTCTTTATATATTTTGAATATAGTCCAATGTCATGTGATTTGCAGATACTTCTCCTCCTGTAGGTTGGGCTGTCTTCTCACATTCTACTATTAGAAAATCCAATTTACTTTTTCTTTGGTCACTTAATTATTTTTTTTTTCATATGTATATGATCATAATGTTTGGCCTGCATCTATGTAAGTGCACCATATGCATATAATGCCCACAGAGGCCAGAAGAAGGCATTGGATCCCCTGGAACTAGAATAACAGTTGATTGTTAGCTGCCATGTTGGTTCTGGGAACCAAACCCCAGTCTTCCAGAAGAGCAGCCAGTGCTCTTAACTGCTGAGCCATCTCCAGCCTTGTGTGGTCACTTTTAATGTTGTATCAGAGAAGATGTTATCTAATAATCACAAAGATTTACTCCTGTGTTTACCTCTAAGTTGTCTTTTGGTTTTCTTTCTGTTGTTTTTGTTTTGAGACAGGGTCTCACTATATAGCTCCAGCTGGCCTGGAACTTGCTATGTATTCCATTCCAGGCTGGCCTCAATCTCAACAGAAATCTACCTCTGTCTGCCTCCTGGGATTAGGCATGTGCCACCATGCCCAGCCTCTAGGTTGTTTTTTAGGTCTGTGATCCATTTTTAGTTTTGTGTATGTTGTGGGGTGGTATCTAAATTTCCTCTTTTGTGTGTGGCCGTCATCTTTCTTAGCATCATTCAATCAGTTATTTTCACCGTCATTGAATTGCCATGGTTCCCTAGCAAATGATCCATTGACAGTAAATACAAATATTAATTTCTGATCTCTTGGTTTTGTTCCATGATTCTATGTCTGTCCTTATGCTGGGACTCCACTATCTTGATTACTACAGCTTTGTAGCAGAATTTGAAATATGGAAGTTGATGATTTTAATTTTCTTCTTTTTTCAAGATTGCGAAAAATAGCCAACTGGGATTTTGTTAGGAATTGCATTGACTTTAGAAACAAGTTCTGATAGTGTTGCTATTTTAATACTGTCTTTGAAGTCCATGAATTTAGGTGTCTTCTGCTTGTCTTTGTACATACATACATACATACATACTTTAGTACAGCTTGAAAGAAAAGGGTCGTGGGCATGATTCCATCAATATTCACTCCGTTACACATAATTTTAAGAAACCATTTCCAGATTTGTTGAGGGTTTTTTGGGGGTGTGTTGGGGGGGTTGTTTTGTTTTGTTTTGTTTTTGGTCTTTTTGAGACAGGGTCTCCCTGTAGCCCCAGCTGTCCCTGGAACTCACTATGTAGACCAGGCTGGCCTGGGCCTTGAATTCACAGAGATCTGCCTGCCTCTGCCTCCCAAGTGCTGGGATTAAAGGTGTGTGCCACCATGCCTGGCCCAAGATTTTTTTTCTTTCGTGCATAGGTACTTCCGAACCATAGGTTTGCTATATATACATATTTTATACACTTTATCTTTTTATAGCATTGTTTTAAAATATTCCACTGAATACGTATTCCATGGTTTAGCTGCTCTTGTAATTACATGTTTCATTTCCAATATTTTGTTAAAGGTTGGGTTTTTTCCCCTGAATTGATGATACCTTTTCCCATTAAGTTTCCCAGAGGTGGAGTTCCTATTAACAGCTATATCCACTTTAAAATTCATGGTGAACAGCATCATGCCTTTGGCTATTTTTAGTGTATCATTGACTATGCTTAGTTTTAGAATCCAAGTCACCAAAAGGTTGCCTGTGTTGATCAAATGTGAACTGTAGTCATGACATTTGATCATTATTGAGTCCTAACACAACTGTTTAAGGAGCTGCTGTGTTTGTTTTTTAAGTCCCTAAAATGACTGTGACTGGAGTTCAGGGAGGTTAGATTTGCTCTGTGAGGTTTTGGGTAGAACCAGTGCAAATGCTTTCAGTCTTACTACATAGAGCAGACGCTAGGAGCTGCTTTGCTGTACTGCCTCCTTAGGACCTAACACAGCAAAGCAGAGTTTGAGTGGGGGCCAGCCCAGGAATTAAGCCTAGGTTTGGGTGATGATAGCATTATTCCAAAGAGCACTACAGAGCAACAACAACCTGACCTGGCCTGGGTACCAGCGGCTCACACACTGGCCATCAAACCTTGTAAGCCAGCTTCCAGCAGTAGCTCAGCCACTGTTGACCACACTGCCATTTTGAGAATTACATTCCTCTGCTTCCCAAGCTTCTAATTGGTGCTGCTCCAGCCATTTATTTCTGTTCTGGGTTCATATCTTCTATTGTGGATCTTTTCACATACTGTCTGGAAGGCTTGGCCTTCTTCCCTCTCACCTACTTTTCCCAGCTAGCACCTGCTCTGGTGCCTGCTGTTCTTTCAGTCAGGTTCAACTGGACAGGAGCACTATTGAGGCCAGGGGCTCTCAGTCTTGGCTGAGCTTTAGAACTACCAGTGAAGCTTTTAAAAAATTATTCATCCCCAGTAACAGATTCTATAACAGATTCTCTTGCCAGAGAGCCAACTGTTGGTATTTTCATAAAGCCCTAGACAAGTCTGTTATGCAGCCAAGATTAGGTCTAGGTTTTGAGTGACAAGATGACTGTTCTGAAGAGAAGGACATCTCACCTGTTCAGTCTCAAGTGCTTGCTGTGGTCTAATTAGAAAAGAGGATGACTAGAGTCAGTTTCCTAATGCTGTGTCCTCACGCTTATTCTTAGCAGCAGTGGAATGTCACAGTAATAATGCTTTGATAGACACTAAATTCTCATCACCTGCCTCTAGCTAGTTTAGGAAGTGAATGCAGAAATGTAAGCCCTAGAAACTAACATTGAAGAAGCCTGGGGGTGGGGATAGGAACTGTAGCTCCATGGTAGAGTCCTTGTCTGGTTTACCTGAGGCCCTAGGTTTGATCCCTAGCACCAGAGAAAGGGAGAGGAGAGAAGAAGGCCTTTAAGTACTAACTCACTGTTCTCTGTGTGATGAGATTTCATGCATGGCTTATCAGGGACTGACACATGTAGATGAAATACAAAATGGCATTAACTTCGCAAGCCAAAGTAGTAACATACTCTTAGGAGAGTGCAGTGCATCCCTGAGTATACCTATATGAGCAGATGCAGAGAAAGAGACAGTAGCAAGTTGTAGAACATAGCCAGTAATCCATTAGTGTTTGGTTGGGCTTTCTTAAGGTATTATATGCACATGCCTTCACATGTACTAATGAACACAGGAGATTTTGGCGTGCAGAACACAGATGAAATCGGTAAGTAGAAAAGCTTTTCTCACCTTCACCTTTTCTCCTTTGTGCCTTTGCCACGAGATTTCATCATTTCGTAATGTTATGTTTTATTAATCTCTAATGTTCATGAAGTCTTCTCTTTGGACACACACACACCACCTCCACCCCCATGGTCATAACATCCTGAAGAGGATGTGCTCCAACTTTCTAACTTCAGATTTCTGCCACCTTTAGTAAGCACTTCAGCATATGGCTTGCAAATAACAGAAACTTCGATATCTGATTTGTCTGTGTCATTTTTTTGCCCTAGATCCTTCCTTAGAACCTGGTATATTGCTAAATGTCTATTACTTCAGGACTTTTATACTGAGTATACACTTAAACCTATTTGAATGAAGAAAATGACAAAGGAGTGCAGCAAGTGAAAACTGGCTTATTCTTTAGAGCATAGTACTTATCTCACAGTGGTTTATGAACACTTAGAATTCTGCAGAACTAAAATGGACAGTGCGAAAGACCTCACGGCTATCTTGAGAAAGTAACAGTTATCTAGTGGGACATCTGTGAGCAATTATGTTTGCTAAGGTGCCTGGAGTAAGTTCTGTTGTTAAAGAATGTCTTAAACAAATCTGCTTTTACACACGTGCCTGATCATGTAACTGCAGAAGGAATTTTCCCTCCTTGGTTTCAGAACATGTAAACATACATGCTGGTGATCATGTAGACTGTATATCAATTCACCAATGTTATAACCATTCAGAAATGATGCAGAGAAACCTATTTTTTGAAAAACGATAAGGAACCGAGTCGGGGCCCAGAACATCAAAGGGCTAACTCTTTTGAATCCACCAATGTAAATAAATGTGGGTTCTCCAACTCTCCAAGTAGTGCTTGGTTCCTTGCTGAAAACAATTTTCTCCCCCACACGGAGAGGTCGCTGTTAAGTCCTTTTCATACTGCATTATAACAAAGGGCGGTTTTCTGGTAAATATCTTTACTAAAGGAACAGTGTTGTTTTGACCAATTTTCAGTTTATGTTTGAGGAGAAAAAAATTAGAGAAAAGTCAGTTTATAAAATTTCTGTCTTGGGCTGGTAAGATGGCTCAGTGGATAGAAGTACTTGGCCACCAAGCCTGACAGCCTGATTTTCTATCATCCCATTAAACTCACTTGATAATGCAACTCAATAATTAAATGTCAGGGTTACAGTTCAGAGACTTTGACTGAGAAATTAATGCTTTCTCTTGTTACTTGAAAACAGAAGCATTATTTCAGGAATTTTGAAAGCTCAAAAATTAAATGATGAAATACAGTGTTGTCTGTTGGAATTTGAGATGGAAGAAGCTGGACATTTGTAAGAATTTACTGGAAGTACTTGCTATGTGTATAAACAAGGAAAGAGGGCATAGAAAGACCTGTCAACTAAGCTTAATTTGTTTACACAGAGTAAGCATTTATATTCTTAATGGTCTTTGTGGAAAATAGTAATTATTTGCTTTTTGTTTTGTTTTTTGAGACAGGGTCTCTCTGTAACCCCAGCTGGCCTGGAACTCAACTATGTAGACCAGGCTAGCCTTGAACTCACAGATTCACCTGCCTCTGCCTCCCAAGTACTGGGATTAAAAGCCTGTACCACCACAAAATAGTAATGATTTGTAAATTAAGCTGGAGAGCCATTGAGGCCTGATAACCTTGATAGGATTACTTCTTGAGGTCTTGAGATAACAGATGCGACTCAGATGTGTGGTTGTGCCCAAGTCACAAACTGATTGTGATGGATCTACATCTATGTATTTCTGTTTGAGAAAGCCCATCACCCCTTTTATTGAGTCAGGGTCTCATGGTTTTGTTTTTTATGTGTATGAGTATATTGCCTGCATGTATGTGAGTGCACCCATGTCGTGCAGTGCCTCAGAGGTCAGAGATGGCTCAGCAGTTAAGAACACTGGTTGTTCTTGCAGAAGACCCAGGTTCAAATCCCAGCATCCACATGGCAGCTAACAACTGTCCATAACTCCAGTTCCAGGGGATCTGATGGCTTCTTCTGTCCTCTCGGGCATTGTACGTCATGGGTGTACCTACCTACATGCTGGCAATACATGCATACACATGAAATTAAAATAAAATAAAAATTGTATTTGAGAGCCAGAGACAATTCAACTCCCCCAGTATGCTTGGTTCCAAAATGTTGTGGGACACATTTTTCCATATCACATGGACAGATCACTATTAAAGCCATTTTCATATCACAGTACAACAAAGGGAGGTTTTCTGGTAGTGATCTTTACTGAAGGGACAGGATCACTTTGGTCAATTCTAAGCATATATTTGAGGAGAAAAATTTAGAGAAAAGTCAGTTTATAAAATTTCTCTGTCTTGGGGTTTTAATTTCTTGTGGTTATTTATCCACCCCCTCTGGATTTTACAATCAAAATCCCATCATAGACATGGGGAAGTGGATAAGGAATGCCACCATAACCTAAGGAGTTTCTGACAATTGATGGCTGCTGGGGGTTGGGGTGGGGGTCATTGTCTTACCAGGATTGAACTCTTGGTGGACCCAGTGGATAAACCCACGCTGAAGGATATTTGGGGGCACAAATCAGGCTCTATAGGCCATATTATAGATGAGAGTTCGTTAAATGGGTGGGGATGAGAATTGCCTCACATATGTGAGGATGACTAGAAGGCACGGTGTTGCACAAGCCGTCCTCCCAGAAGGCTGTGGAAGAAGCCTTTCTAGTTTGGAGCCAGTTTGGGCTTCATGATGAAACACTGACCCAAAACAAACAAGAAGAGGTGTAACTAGTGTTGGAGGGAGTGAGTATAAATTAGTTCCATTATTTTATGAAAAACAGTGCAGAGGTTTTTCAAAAAATTAAAAATAGAACTTGCCATATGATCCAGCAACCCCACGACAGCCAAAAAAGATGAAATCAGTATGTGGAAGGCATGTCTGTGCTCACATATTCACTGCAACAGGGTGCACAGTATCCAAGATTCAGAATCGGCTTAAGTCGTCACCAAATGAATAAAGACAGTTGGGTCTAGATAAACAGTGGAATACTGTTTAGTCAGCATTTTTAGATTTGGAGTTGTTTTTGTTTTAAGGCAGGCTTTTACTATATAACCCAGACTGTCCTCAGACTCATAATTCTCCTGCCTCAGCCTTTTAAGTGCTGGGATTACAGGTGTACTAAGCACAAAAGGGAAAAATACTGCATGGTGTTTCTTCTGTATGGAATCTAAAATCATTGAATTTAAAGAAACAGAAGATTCCCATAATCTCAGCACTTAGATAGAGGCAGAAGAAACAGAAGTTCAAAGTTGCTCCTTACTTAGCTCAAGGCCAGCTTGAGTGTTTCCTATCATGAAGATATGAAAAACCTTTTTAATTTTTTGAAAAAATATTCCTTTTTATTTTATGTGTATGCGTGTATTGCCTGTGTGCAATGCCCACAGAAGAAAGAAGAGGCTGTGGGATTCCCTGGAACTGGAGTTATGGGCAGTTGTTAGCTGCCATGTGGGTGCTGGGATCCCGAACCCAGGTCTTCTGCAAGAATGACCAGTGTTCTTAACCGCTGAGCCATCTCTCAAGCCCCCTTTTTAATTTTTTTTTTTTTTTAAGCTAGACATCATGGCACCCAGCTGTAGTCCCAGCACTTGGTTGTGTGCCTCTGTGCACTGCATTTGTTCTTCCCATAGAAGCTAGAAGAAAGGGTTGGATCCTACAGAGGAGTTATAGCTGGTTTTGAGCTGCCCAATGTGGGTGTTGAGAACTGAACTTGGAAAGAGCAGCAAAAACTCTTAGCCACTGAGCTCTCTCTGCAGCACCAAGCAAGACCTGTCTTACAAACAAACAGGCTGAGATGCTCAGAGGTTAAAAGCAGTTACTGCTCTTCCAAAGGACCCAGGTTCAGCTCCCAACACATAGATGGCAGCTAACAACTCTCGTTTAGCTCCAGTTTCAGGAGATCCGACACCCTCTTCTGGCCTCTTCGGGCATTGCATGACACATACGCTTATATACATGTAGGCAAAACACAAATAAAATTTTTTTTTTTAAAGGAAGCAAAAAATGAAATGGTGATTACCAGGGCAGATCAGCAAGTGTAAGGTGGAGATGTTAGTCAAAGGGCATAAGACATCGTACATGCAAACACAGGTGTGGAAAGTTCTGGAGTATCATGTAGTATGGTGCCTACAATCAGTAATAATCTATACTTGAACATCACTAGGAATTCCTTTTAAGTGCTCATCACATTGTAAGGTGATGAATATGTTGTAGCTCCATTTAATTATCTACAGTGCACACATATGTCAGAATACCACGTTTTACTCCATATAATTTTACACAATAAAAAGTACAGACAAAAGTACTATGCCTTTTAATCTCATTTTGTATAGAAAGTTTGAGGCATACTATATATCACATGCATAGATAGAGAGAAAACAGTTAACAGTGTTTTGTCTGGGTGCTTTGAAAATTTTTACCTTTCCTAGATTTTTGCAAGTGTATGTTTTACATCAGGGTATTTTGGAAGCTGGCAGTTAGGGAAGAGGAAGGAAAATGCTAATGGGATATGGTAGAAATGAAATGATTTTAGGTAACTTACTGACATTTCAACACTCGGGTGTGAAGTTAGATACAGTTCTCCTTGTGGAGAATTCAAGGACTTCATATGGTTTTCTTTCTGATTTTCATGATCTTCATTTTTCAGTAATGGTACCAAGTAGCCAGAGTACTCCTGCTAAAGCCCCCAGAGTAAGGAGCAGTCCGTCTATTTCCTCTCCATCTTCAGCAGCTTGTGCTCCAAACTGTGCAGGAGACCTCCCTCTTCCTTCAAATACTCCCACGTGCTCAATCAAAACCCCTCCTGCCAAGACCCAGTCTCCAGTCAACAGAAGAGGCTCTGTCTCGTCTGTATCTCCCAAGCCACTCTCATCTTTCAAGATGTCACTTAGAAACTGGGTGACTCGAACACCTTCCTCCTCACCACCCATCACTCCACCAGCTTCTGAAACAAAGGTCTCCTCTCCTAGGAAAGCCCTCATTCCTGTGAGCCAGAAGTCATCCAAAACAGATGCTTGTTCTGAATCTAGAAATAGAGTGAAGAGGCGTCTAGACTCAAGCTGTCTGGAAAGTGTGAAACAAAAGTGCGTGAAGAGTTGCAGTTGTGTTACTGAGCTTGACGGCCAGGTGGAGAGTCTTCATTTGGACCTGTGCTGCATTGCTGGCAACCAGGAAGACCTCAGCAAGGACTCTGTGGGTCCTACCAAATCAAGCAAGATGGAGGGAGCTAGCACGAGCACCTCAGAGCCTCCTTCTCCTGTCAGCCCTTACATTTCAGAAAGCTGTGGAACATTACCTCTTGCTTTGAGACCTTGTGGAGATGGGTCCCCAGTTGTGGGCAAAGAGAATAGCTCCCCAGAGAATAAGAACTGGTTGTTGGCCATGGCAGCCAAACGGAAGGCTGAGAATTCATCTCCAAGAAGTCCATCATCCCAGACACCCAGCTCCAGGAGACAGAGCGGAAAGACGTCACCCGGCCCAGTAAGTCAGCAGTGGTGGGAGGAAACATTTCCTCATTTGAAGGGGGACTAATACAGTTCTCTTAATGCTAGTATGCTGCAAAGGAAAAAGTGTCTCTTAGAGCAACCAAGTTCAGCGCATAAAATTAATGGCAAATTTTGCAGGGGGCTTATACTTTTTTTTTTTTTTTTTTTTTTTTTTCGTCTTTCTGAGACAGTCTCCCTGTAGCCCCAGCTGTCCTGGAACTCACTATGTAGACCAGGCTGGCCTTGAACTCACAGAGATCCACCTGCCTCTGCCTCCCGAGTGCTGGGATTAAAGGTGTGTGCCACCACGCCTGGCTGGGATTTAATACTTTTTATACATAAAATTTATCTAAAATTCAAATGTGACTTTGTGCGGAATTCTCTAACAGCCCTGTTTATCCTGTTAAAGTCCTTCGGTCAAGGTTGATATCCTCAGTCTTTAACAGTAGTAAGGTCTTTTTTAAAATAGATAAAACTACTATTAGGAAAGTTGTCAACATCCATGAGTAAAGTACAGAATCCTTGATTTTTGTGGCTTTCCCCAATTTTATGGTTATCTTACCTACACCAGTGTTCTTGCACTTCCGTCTACTCTTTAAGCATTCAGCAATTTGGTATCATTTTTAGGACTCAGATTTCATTGGCTGATGTAACATTTAAATTAGATAATGTAAATAGTAGATATTGCTGGCAAAAATAAGTTTGGAGCATTGAAAAGCAGATGGTTTACAATGGTGGGGGCAGAAGTGACTGCTTTGTGAGCCCTGGGCTTCCAGGAGAAGGAAGAAAGCTATTGCGGGGCTTGTTTGTTTTTGAGACAGGGTTTCCCTTTGGCCCCAGCTGTCCTGGAACTCACTATGTATACCAGGCTGGCCTTGAACTCACAGAGATCCACCTGCTTCTGCCTCCCAAGTGCTGGGATTGAAGGCCTGGGACGATACCATGCCTGACTTAGAGAGCTATTATTAATCTGTACAGGTTAAGGGGAGACGAGTCCAGTTTCCATGGAAACTCTTGGAGCCATTCTGAATTAAGGGGACAGCAGGATAACTGAGACCCAATCCTTAATCTTTATTTTTATTGCATTTTTGGGTGTTTTTGGTGGTGGTGGTGGTGGTATGGGAGCAGGGGTCTTTTTGAGATAGGATCTCCCTGTAGCCCCAGCTATCCTGAATTTGCAGAGATCCACCTGCCTCTGCCCCCCAAGTGACATTTGTGTCTCCAAATGTCCTTCAGTGTAGGTCCGTCCCCTGGAGCCTGGTTAACTATGGGATCCTTAATCTTGATCAGCGGCATCTGCCCTTTATAAGGGTAGAAGCTAGAAAGCCTTAGGTCAGCTCCTAGGGTATTGAGTCTCCCATCTCCCACCTGCAGTCCTGAAACCTAGCCTAACTCATTGTTCTACGAAAAGGAAACTAGAAATGTTTTGAGTTACTTGCTAGCAAACTGAAACCAAGATTTTGTTACAGAAAATGGGGGGAGGGTAGGGAGGACCTCAAATTCTTTCTTTCAAAAGTATCACTGCTCTTTGCTACTAGCCATCATCTCCTGTTCCCTGGCTCCTGCCAAGAGAACAAGTCTTTGCTATGTGTCAGCAGAAAAATAATTTCAACAAAAATATTTTCAGTAATATGTAAATCCTTAAAACTTTAAAAATAGTGTGCTGGTCTTCATAAGTTTTTTAAATTAAAGTTTCCTCTTTTACTTTTTAGCTATTCGCAGGGTCTCACTATGTACCCCAGACTGGCTTTGAACTCGGGATCCTCCTCCCTCAACCTTCCAGGTGCTAAGATTATAGAGGTATGCCACCACATAATAGCTAGTTTCTTTAAAGAAAATGTTTTCTTTATTGGAAGGTAATGTAGAAATACCTGTCTAGTTTATAAATTGATGAGGTTGATTACTTGAGAACAATAATTATAACCTAGAAACTTGCTGAGGTAAGTTAGAGCTTGAATTTAGGAAATCTCTAAAGTCTAAACTTTCTTCTAGGTCACCATTACTCCCAGCTCCATGAGGAAGATCTGTACATACTTTCGTAGAAAGTCTCAAGATGACTTCTGTAGTCCTGAACACTCAACAGAATTGTAGATCCTGATCTGAGAATTAACTGAACTTTGGGTCCACAAAGACAAAGGAAAAAAGAGTGGTTTTGTCACTCTGGTCTTTCAGAAAACTGCCATCTTTTCAGTTTTGAAAAAAAGCCTTTCAGCTCTTTCACATACCTTGTGTGGTTCACTTCCTCAGTAAACTATGTCTAAATCCCAGACAGTTCGTTTGCCACCGTGTAGTTATCTCCTCCACCTTTGCATCTTCTCTGCTAATGACATCAGTTCATTGGGGCCAAAAAACAAGATATGCCTCTTGTTGTCCTTGAAGTACGGTGCACAGTAGAGGATCTGCCAGCCTACCACGTGGCCTATCGCTGAAGACATCCTCTCCAGAAAGAAGGTGCCTTAAAACTAGCATGATTTTATATGAAATATATAATGTGTTCACTAGAGTTTTGTGTTTTTTTTTCCAAAGTATACAAAAAATGTGATATTACCAAAGTACATTCATACTGATTCAGTGTTAAAATAGTTTCTTGAGTTGAAGTCATTTTAAATGCAGTGATCAATGTTAATTCTTTGGAGAAAACAACAGAAAACTGAAATTTAAAGCCCACTGTATTTCTAAACAGTTTTCTGTCTCAACAGCAGTGTCACACTGCACAGGAGGTTGTGACTGTAGTACTAGAGAGAAACGTTTATGAGGGATAGTTAACACCGGGAAACCAGGACTTACATGTAGTGCAGTCCTCATTCTAGGGTTTGTGACTTTTTAGTATCACTAGATTTTAAAATAATCTCATGATATTTTTATACAGATGATAGCTATGAACTGAAAATCCAGAACCTGAAAAGTAAGCCTTGGTTTTCTCTTTGATTTTCACAAAAAGCACTAGCTTTCTAGCATATTGTTAGCAAAAAATTACTGCACTTTATCTAGATGTTTAGTACAGAGTATATTGACTGAGTCTAAATAATGTACAGAGTATTTTAAATGTCTCCCCCCTTAAACAATCATGCATCTTCTTAAGATGAACCATCATTTCCTTTCCCCTTGAACCTCATGGCAAGAAGCTTTATTGCTTGGAAGGGTGTCTCCTTCCATTAGGAAGGAGTTCATTCATTCAAATCTCTAGAGTACAGATTAAATCTTATTCCTGTTTTTCTTGCAATTTTAAAATCTCTTATTGAAAGGTCTTAAATCTTTTGAGATTCTAAATTAAACTTATAAAACAAGTTTTATTCAAGAAAAAAATAATACAGGGAAGTCAAAACCAAGCATACCTTAGCTTTGGCTGAGTAGGCAATCTACTATGTATGTTTGCTTTTTGAGTGTTAGACAGTGGAATGTAATGATGCATACCTGTCAACAATGCTAAGTATCTCCCCTATTTTTAAGGTGGGGGAATGCAGGGTTGTCAAGAAAGCAAACAGCTCTGTGTCTTGCATCTGCCAGCACGCTGGAAGTGGCTGTCAGAAACTTCCAGAGCCTACTTACTTTGCGGAAAACTAGTGCTGTGGATGAGTGCCAAAGGTCAAATGTAATGAAGTAGTAATTATTCTGCCTGTGTGTGTGTCAGACTTTGAGCTGGTCTTGAATAATAAAGCCTTTTATCTTATCTGATGTCTTTTTTTCTTAGCTTTTCACATCCACCTAGAAGCAGTGTACATGAGCACATGCACACACATAAGTGTAGTGATAATTAAGAATTCCTTTTACTTGTTCATGGAAAAAAGTGTATTTGTTCCCAAAGATGAAATAGTTATACATTCTAGGAAGAGGTTCTAATAAACATCCTTCTTAGACCTCAGTCTCCAAACAGATACTTTCGGCCCAAACTTTCCCATTTGGATAAATCCCAAGCAAGATGGCTGTGATGTTGTATTCCTTTCTTTTGGCTATTTCAAGATAGGCCTTTAATTTACTTTTGTGAGGGTTTGGATAGTAAAACTGACAATAAACCAAACCATTTGTAACCACCCTTGTGTTGGGAGTGGAGTCAACCTACAACCCCTGTCCTTATCGCTTATTAAAATTACAGTACGATTCCTAGGACACCCTGGATACAAACCTTTATTAAAGTATTTCTGTGTGTTTGTTTACATTTTTAAAAAGAATAGGAAACAGCATTTAGCCTATGGCTGTTCTTACTGAGGTCACCTAGCTTTTCAAATTGCTTGTTGAAAGCCTGTGGTAAACGGCAGCAGCTCCTAGGGCTGTCTTTCTGACTTTCCTTTACACTTCTCTCAGAGCAGAGGTCAGCTGTTCTCAGAATCACCACAACTAGGTCGTGTAAATAGGGGAGGGCTGCTCTGAGAAAGAACTCTGCAGCCAGAGTTAAAATCATCCCGCACTTTTCCATAGGGGCTCTGTGAAGGGCTGGGTGCAGCTCCTGCTGCTGTTCCATCCTGTCAGAGGTCTCGCTGCTGCTCACCAGTATTCCTGGGAATTCTTTGCCTAGGCTTGGGTCCTGTCATGTTAACCAGTTTCTTATTTAATCTTGAGATTATGGAAAATTTGGCTTGAGTCAGGCATGGTGGCACATGCCTTTAATCCCAGCATTCGGGAGGCAGAGGCAGGCAGATCTCTGAGTTCAAAGCCAGCCTGGTCTACATAGCAAGTTCCAGGCCAGCTGGGACTACAAGGAGACCCTGTCTCAAAGACCAAAAGATAAAAAATAAATAGAAACTGGTTAAAAGTTAAAGCAGGCTGAACACAATATTTTGTTGAAATTAATGTTTCATTAGATCTGATGCCAGAACTAGGAGCCTTTTTTTCTTTTTAGGTAGCCATTTTATTATCTAAAGTGGTAGAGAAATACAGGTTTTGTTTTGGGGTTTTCAATTTTACGTTTTGTGAATGGGTTTATTGCTTGCATGTAAGTGCACCTGTGTTGTGCAGCACCTAAAGGTGGTCAGATGAGGGCATCAGATTCCCTTGGAACTGGAGTTACAGATGGTTGTTAGCCACCATGTGGGTGCTGGAAACCAAATATGGGTCCTCTTCAAGAGCATCCCAGTGCTCTTAACCACTGAGCTATCTCTCCAGTTCCTGGTTTATTTTTTATTTTATGTATGTGAATGTTTTGCCTGCATGTAAGTGTATTCATGTGTGCAGTGCCCTCAGAGGTCAGAAAAGGGTGTTAGATTCCCTGGTACTGGAGTTATAGACAGTTGTTGGCCATCATGTGGGTACTGGGAAGTGAATCCAGGTCCTCTGCAAGAGCAGCCAAGTGCTCTTAACTGCTGAGCCCTCTTTCCTTCCCAAAAATTATACGTGTGGGATGTTCAAATATATGTTAAAGTGCAGCAGTTGTTAAATGATGTGAGGTAAACTTGGCCTTTAAAAAATTACCAGAGAGCTGAGAAGAACCGGTGGATTTAGTGCCTCAAGCATAAAGACCAAAGTTCAGGTCCCCAGAACCCACATGTAAAGGCTGGGTGGGTGTGGCAAGTGCCAGATGGGTGTGGTGGCCTGCCCAAAATTCCAGCTCTAAGAAGGCAGGGGTGGGTTCCCCAGAGGGAGATGGCTAGCTGATTAAAGTGATCTTACAGGTGAGCTCTGGGTTTGGAGAGACCATGTTTCAAAGATGTCAAACTCAAGCTTCCATACACATCTGAATGCACACCTACACACAATTAATGCATACAGGTATGCCCACATACATACACATACTAAAAAGCAGTAGCCGAGCGTATTGTGTCCCCCGCCCTCATTCAAATGAGTGCCTACACCAGGCATCCACCCAAAGGTATTAAGAAGAGGCTGGCTAGGTTTCAACTGCTCATTGCTACCCTTCCCTGCTAGGTCAGGAGAGCGAATTTCGAAGGATACATACAGATTCCATTTATACTTACCTCTAATTTCCCTAACTTGCCACATGCCCGCTTCTGTTTGACATTCTACACAATTTGCATTCAAGCCATTTTGTGAATACAAATAGCAACAACACATTTCAAGATGCCTTTGACGGAAGGCTTTCAGTTCAGCCCACAGTTACGTGTTCATCACCTGGGTGCCAAGCCCTATGTGAGGCACCTGGTCTGCAAAGAGTTCTTCATTTTCAGTTACTAAGAATCACTTTTCTCTATGGCACTTCATGAGCTAAAGTCTGCACTAGAGAGAAGCAAAGATCCAATTCCAAGGCCCTTGAGTGAGTGGCTCAGAAGCCAGGCCTGTGAGAATTTAGCATTTAATTCAGCTGCTGCTTACAGTGTCTATAATCTTGAAGTTAGGGTTTAGTTCAGGTGATGAAGGCTGAGCTGCCAACCTGTGGAGTTACTGGGAGGAGGTGGAGCCTTTAAAATGCCAATGGAAAGAGACTAAGGTGGAAGCGGGCATGCCCTTGAGGGAGCTGTTCTGACTCCAGCCCTTTCCTGTTCTCTGCTCCCTGGCTGCCATGAGGTGAACAGCATCACTGCCCTTCACTACAACTGTGAAGCTCTGGGCTACCACAGCCACCGTGCACTGAGACTCCAACTGTGAGTTAAACCTTTTTCCCTCTAAACTGATTTGTTTGAAGTATTTTGTCACAATGACAGAAAGCTGACTAAAATGCTTTTCTCTTGCATGTTTTTGTTACGATCTTTCTTTGTAACCGTCGAAACAAGATCAGACCAGCTGCCTAGCTTTGAATCCAAGCCCTAGCTGTGTGGCTTTGGGAAAGTTACTTAACCTCTTTGTGAATCAGTTTCCTGTCTGTAAAATGGGGTTTTATGGTATTGAACGTAGCTGATCCACAACAGCTGGCATGTACTGAACAGTAGTACTGTTAACCATTATTCCCAAAAGGCAGGGAGGGCAGGAGTTACTGGCCATATTTGATAAATGGCATAAAGGCTTAATAAAGTAACTAACAGTCCAGTTTCCACAAGAGCTGCAGTCTAGAAAGGTGTGGGGACCAAATCAGAACCATGTGGGAAACTCTTTGATTCCGGCCTCCCACAGCCCCAGCACTGATTGAAGGAAGCAGGCCTGTGGGGACCTTACCCTGCTGCCTTCACATGGAAATTCCAGAGATTATCTCTGCAGAGGGGACCATCCTCAGGCTACTGCACTGTCCTGTGTCCCCATGCTGCCTCTAGCTCTGCTCCAGTGCTTCAGATCTGCCCAGAGAGAGCAGCTGGGGTGCTGGCCTGCAGAGCTGATCCCCATCTTTCATCGGACGGTTAGGCGGCTGGTCCAGTGACCAGGAGGAAGAGGAAAGCAGACACAAAGCTGGGCCATCGGCTTTGTTTTAGGAGCTGTGACTATAAGATGCAAAATTTGAGAACATTGAGTAGTTTCTTTGCTCCCACAGTGAGATCCCGCTGACTTCTGGCACCAGTCACTCTGTTCCCTTTGTCACAATTGTGGCCAAATACCAGCAGAGACAAATCCAGCACGGGTCCCACCAGGCTTCTGCACAGCACACCTGTTGGTGTACTTGGCACTGGTTTCCATTTACAGGAGTGCACAGAATATGGCATCCCCTTACCAGGAGCCTGTTCACTCCCCAGCAGTCTGCCACTAGACCCCCGCCCAACTCAAAACGTTACAGCTGATCTTTTTTCCTTCTGTTAACAGCATTGCTTACTTTTAAAGCTAAGGTCTAAAAGTAATTATTAAATGCAGCCTTTCCTCATTAGGAGACTTACAACTGCTTATAGCTCTAACTCCAGGGGATGTGATGTCCTCCTCTGGCCGATACAGGCATTGCACTGAAGTACACAGGCACACATATAATTAAAAATAAAATCTAAAAACTGGAAAATACAGAGAAAACTGAAAGGAATAAATCCCTTGTGATGCCTGCTGACAACTGCTGCAGGTTTCCGATCACCGGGACGACTGCTCAGCACGTAGAGATTTGTTCCGAATTTCCCAAGTCTTATCACAGCTTGGATGTACCAATTTATCAGGCTAAATGCAACAGTGGTCACCTGTGGTGGCTCATGCCTGTAATCTCAGCACCTGGGGAGTGGATGCAGGATGATCAGGAGTCCAGTCACCCTCAACCGAATAGCAAGTTCAAGGCTAAAATGGACTACGTAAGACCCTGTCTCAAAAAACTCAAAATAAATAAGTGGTAGTGTTCGAACACATGTTTCTTCACTTGTCTCTGAGAAGCTTAGTTGTTTCTTTTTTTAAAATATTTTTAATTTAAAATTTTAATTTTTATTTATTGGAGTTTTTGAGACAGGGTCTCCCTGTAACCCCAGCTAGCCTGGAACTCACTATGTAGACCAGACTAGACTTGAACTCGCAGAGATCTGCCTGCCTCTGCCTTCCAAGTACTGGGACTAAAGGTGTGCGCCACCACGCCCAGCATTAATTTTTATGTGTATGAGTGTATTGCCTGCATGTGTGTTAAATGCACCCATGTTGTGCAATGCCTGCAGAGGTCAGAGAGGGCATAGGATCCCTTGGAACTGGAATTAAGGATGGTTGTTAGCACCATGTGGGTGCTGGATTTGAACCTGGGTCCTCTGCAAGAGCAGCCACTGAGCTTAACCACTGAGCCATCCCCTAGCTTAGTTGTTTCTTAACCATCCATTTGGGGATGAGCCACAGTTTTGAGACTCCTAAAGATCTAGGAATACATACTTTAAAAAAATTCATAAGGTACTTAAACACAAG